TGTTGCAGAAAAAGAAAGTGTAGAAATAAACAAGATGGTCATCAAGGAAACAAGTGTAGCTGTGACAAAGAACATGAATCAGGAGGCAGATCAAATGAGAGAAGAAGCCACATCAGAGCAACAGGAAAATCATCCACTGGAACAGAATGAGAAGGAAACAGTTGAGACAGAAAATCTGACTGACTTAGTGGTTAGCAAGGAGCAAACAACCATTTCAAAGGGGACTATCGTTCAAGTAGAAGAAGAGGTCTCACAGGTGGAATGCTTTGAACCCAGTCAAAGTGACCAAGAGGGGATCACAAGAAGAAGTCTTAGGCTCAGTACCAAATCAGTTAAATCTACACGGAAGACCAGATCATCTGCATGTCTCCACAAAGCAGAGTCAGAACCAGTGAAAAAAGTAGACAAGAATAGCGATGAATATGAAAAATCCTCAGCAGCAACAGAAGAGACTGTAAATGTCTGTGAATCAGTAATTACTGTCGAGACCAACTTGGAAAGTCTTAATGAATTAGCAAACACAAATGTTGAGGAAACTCCAGCTGTTGAACCTGAGACTTCTAAACTGCTACTGGGTGCAGAAATAGATGGTATAGAGGAGAAACCTCAGACTGTGGAGGTGGTCCCTTTTTTAGAAGCAGAAGCAGATGACTTGGATGAGAAAGATGACAGAACTTCAGTTATACAACTGCAGAATGCCACAGTAGTACTTGTAGATTTAAACAAACTTTCTCAAAACACAGAAAGAGAAAGTGATACTCTAGAATTCCCAACACTTTCTCAGACAGAGGAAAACATTGAAATGGAGGAACCAAACAGTGAACATGAACTATGTAATGTAACACCAGAGGAGAAAGAACAGCAAGAGCTACACATCGAGAAAGACACTAAAGAGACCCATGAGCAGGACAAAATGGAGAAAGAAAACAGAGATGAAGAGAAAAATAAACCCAATAAACAAGATGTGACATTTGTGAGGCAAAAACTAACAGAAAATCTGATAGAACAAATTGATGTAATAGAGACAGAAACCATAGAGGGTTATAGTGCTGTAACATCTGGAGAGACTCAAGAGGTAACACAAATGGCAGACAAAACAAATATCATTAAGGAGACAGAACAGGATCAAGATGTTGCTTTAAAAGAGAAACAAGCAGACAGTAAGGCAGAGATGAGCAGTATTGCTCACGGGGCATCAGAAATTGTCCAAGAGATCTTAGAAGAGGAAACACCATTCAGCACAGAGCGAAGTCTCAGGCGAAGAACAATAATAGTTCAGTCTCCACCAAGAAAAAAATCAAGACTTGTACAAAAACAAGTGGCAGAAGCCTTTGAGGATAAAAATGGAAAATTAACAGTTACAGGAACGGTAGTTGAAGAAATGCCTCAAAAATTAACTGTAGAAACTACAGATAAGGAGATCCCACTTGCTGAAGAGGAACCTAAAGATTGTGTAGCAGAAAAAGTGGCTAAAAAAATTAACCAAGTGGAGAACAATGTAACATACACAAACAAGGAGATACTAGAGACGGAAGAAGATAATTTAGTGCAACAAGATATAAATGAGAAACAAACAACTGATGCAGAAGAATCCTTAGAAATTGACCATGTAGTTAGCAAGGGGCAACCATACAATGTAGAGGGGACCACCATTCAGGTAGAGGAAGAGGTCTCACAGGTGGAATGCATTAAACCCAATCAAAGTGGCTATGAAGGAATCACAAGAAGAAGTCTCAGGCTCAATGTCAAATCAGTTAAAACTACACAGAAGACCAGATCATCTGCACGTCTCCACAAAGCAGAGTCAGAACCTGTGAAAGAAGTATATATGAATAGAGATGAATATGAAGAATCCTCAGCAACAACAGATAAGACTGTGAATGTCTGTGTACCAGTAATTACTGTTGAGACCAACTTGGAAAGTTTTGATGAATTAGCAAACACAAATGTTGAGGAAACTCCAGCTGTTGAACCTGAGACTTCTGAACCTCAACTGGATGAAGAAATAGATGGTAAAGAGGAGGGAACACAGACTGTAGAGGTGGTCCCTCTTGAAAAAGCAGAGCTTGATGGCTTAGTTGAGAAAGATGACAGAACTTCAGTTATACAACTGCAGAAAGCCACAGTTGTACTTGTAGACTTAAACAAACTTTCTCAAAACACGGATGGAGAGAGTGATACTCCAGAAATCTCAATGCATTCTCATACAGAGGAAAACAGTGAACTGGACAAACCAATTTATAGTGAACATCAACTATGTAATGTAACGCCAGAGGAGAAAGAACAAGAACTAAAAAATGAAAAAGAAACTAAAAAGACTCCTGAGCATGACAAAATGGAGAAAGAAAACACAGATAAACCAGAAGAACAAAATGATGTAAAAGAGACAGAAACCATAGAGGGTTATAGTGCTGTAACATCTGGAGAGACTCAAGAAGTAACACAAATGGCAGACAAAACAAATATCATTAAGGAGACAGAACAGGATCAAGATGTTGCTTTAAAAGGGAATCAAGCAGACAGAAAGGCAGAGATGAGCAGTATTGCTCACGGGGCATCAGAAATTGTCCAAGAGATCTTAGAAGAGGAAACACCATTCAGCACAGAGCGAAGTCTCAGGCGAAGAACAATAATAGTTCAGTCTCCACCAAGAAAAAAATCAAGACTTGTACAAAAACAAGTGGCAGAAGCCTTTGAGGATAAAAATGGAAAACTAACAGTAACAGGAAAGGTAGTTGAAGAAATTAATAAAGAAATGACAAAAATAGATGGTAAAGAGGAAATGCCTCAAACATCAACAGTAGAAACTACAGACGAGGAGATCCCACTTGCGGAAGAGGAACCTAAAGATTGTGTAGCAGAAAAAGTGGCTTTAGAAATTAACCAAGTGAAGAACAAGCTAACATACACAAACGAGGAGACAATAGAGATGGAAGAAGCTAATTTAGTGCAACAAGATAATGATCCACTGGTTATAAATAAGAAAGAAACAACTGAGACAGAAGAATCCTTAGAAATGTACCCTGTAGTTAGCAAGGGGCAACCATACATAGTAGAGGGGACCACCATTCAGGAAGAGGAAGCTGTCTCACAGGTGGAAAGCAATGAATCCAATCAAAGTGGCCAAGAAGGGATCACAAGAAGAAGTCTCAGGCTCAGTACCAAATCCGTTAAAACTACACAGAAGACCAGATCATCTGCACGTCTCCACAAAGCAGAGTCAGAACCAGTGAAAGATGTAGATATGAATAGAGATGAATATGAAGAATCCTCAGCAAGAACAGAAGAGACAGTGAATGTCTGTAAACCAGCAATTACTGTTGAGACTAACTTGGAAAGTTTTGATGATTTATCAAACAAAAATGTTGAGGAAACTCCAGCTGTTGAACTTGAGACGTCTGAACTGCTTCTGGGTGTAGATGGTAATGAGGAGGAACCACAGACTGTGGAGATGGTTCCTCTTGAAGAAGCAAAGTCTGATGACTTGGTTGAGAAAGATGACAGAACTTCAGTTATACAACTGCAAAATGCCACAGTTGTACTTGTAGATTTAAACAAACTTTCTCAAAATACAGATGAAGAGAATGATACTCCAGAAATCTCAACACATTCTCAGACAGAGGAAAACATTGAACTGAAGGAACCAATTTATAGTGACCATGGATTGGGTAAACTGACAGCAGAAGAGGAAGAAAACCAAGTACTACAAATGGGGGGAAATATTGAAAAGACCCCTGAGCTGAAAGAAATGCAGGAAGAAGTCACAGATAAAAAGCAGAACAAATATAACAAACAAGATGAGATATTTGAGGGGCAAAATCTGACAGAAGATTTGGAAGAACAAAATGATGTAATAGAGAAACAACATCTGGAAGCCACAGCAATAGCAGACAAGTCAAATATAATTCAGGATGTTGATTTAAAAGAGAAACAAACAGAGGGTGAGGCAGAGATGAGCAGTCTTCTTCAGGAGTCAGCAGTATCTGTCCAAGAGATATTGGTGCAAGATGAGGCACCTATCAATATAGAGAGAAGACTCAGACAAAGAACAATAACAATTCAATCGACACCAAGAAAGAAAACGAGAGATGTGGAAAAACAAGAGGCTTCTGGAGATAAAGTAGGAAAAGTACAAATAACCAGAAAGGCAGCAAAAGAAATGCACAAAGAAATTGCAAAAGTGGACGGCAACGAGGAAACTATTAAGCAATCAACTGTAGAGGCTACTGAGAAGATCTCATTTATAGAAGCAGAACCTGATAAATGTGTAACAGAAAACGTAGCTGAAGAAATTAACAAGGTGGAGAACAAGGAAACAAATTTAGTTGTGGCAAAAGACACAGATGAGGAGGCACCAGACATGAAAACAGCAGCCAATTTAGAGCAACAGGAAACTCATCCATTGGGCATAAATGAGGAAGAAACAACTGAAACAGAAAAACCCATGGAGATCAATAAAGATCCAGTGGTTAACAAGGTGCAAACATATGTTTTGAAAGAAACCACCATTCACTTAGTAGAGGAGGAGGTCCCACACGTGGAAAGCATAGAAAGCAATCAAAATGACCATGAAAAGATTAAAAGGAGAAGCCTCAGGCTTAGTGCAAAGTCAGTCCCATTAAAACAGAAAACCAGAAAATCAGCACGTCTCCACAATGCAGAGTTGGATCTAGCAAAAGAAGCAGATATAAGTAGAGATGAATTTGAAGAAACTTCTACAGCAACAAAAAAGATTAGCTTAAATAAAAAAGTTAGTACTGTAAACATCAATGTTGAGGAAACTCAAGCTGTTGAACATGAGACTTCTGAACTGCTAATCGGTGTAAAAACATATGATGAAGCACCTCAGACTGCGGAGGAGGTCCTTCTTGAAGACATAGGATCTGATGAGGGAGCAAAGAAAGATGATGATACTCCAGTAACACAACTGCAAAAAGCCACAGTTGTACTTGTAGATCTAAACAAACAATCCCAAAATACAGAGGAAGAGAGTGATACTTCAGGAGCCCCAATACATTCTCAGACAGAGGAAAATATGGAACTGGATAGCCCAGTTTATAGTGAACATCAGCTATGTAATAAAAGAACAGAAGAAGAAGAACAGCAAGAGCTACAGAAAGAGAAAGATACTGAAAAGGCCCCTGAGAAAGACAAAGTGGAGGAAGAATGCACAGATGAGGAGCACAATGAAACTGGAAAACAGGATATAACATCTGAGGGACAAAAACCAACAGAAGATTTGGAAAGACAAATAAACGTACAGAGGACAATTGTAGAGGAAATCATAGATGAGCATGTGCAAGAAGCTGTAAAATCTGGAGAGCATTCAGAAGCAACAACAATGGCAGCGGACACAAATATTCAGGAAACAGAAAATGATCAAAATATTGCTCTAGAAGATAAGCATGCAGACAGTAATGTAGAAATAAGCTATCTTGCTCATGAGGTCGCAAAAGCTGTCCAGGAAACCTTAGAAAAGGAGGTACCAGTTAGCACAGAGCGAAGTCTCAGACGCAGAACAATACAAATTCAGTCTCCGCTAAAAAGGAAATCAAGACGTCTACAAAAACAAGAGGCTAAAGCTTTTGAAGATAAAACTACAAAAGTCCCAATAACAGGAAAGGCAGTTGATGAGCATCAAGAGGCTACAAAAATAGATGATAAGAAGCAAACACTTCAGAAATCAACTGTAGAGGCAACTTTGGAGGAGATCCTACCTGTAGAAACAGAACCCGAAGAGTGTGTAGCAGAAAAAGTAGAAAATATGGAGAATAAGGAAATACATTCAGGAAATGAGGAGGCACATAAGATGGAAAGAGAAGAAGCCATTTTAGAACAACAGAAAAACGAGGACTTGGTTGAAAACATCATAGAGACTGATGAAATTTCAATGGTTACAAAAGGGCAGATTTACATTGTAGAGGAAACCACCGTACACGCAGAGTTAGAATTAACGAAAGAAGCAGATACAAGCAGAAATGAAGATGATTCATTGATTACAATAGAAACTGTACGAAGTAAAACAGTAGAGACTAATGCTGAACTTCTAAATGTATATGGGGATATGGTTTCTGTGAGTGGAAATGTGGAAACTAATTCAGACGAACAAGGGATAGACTCATCAAATGATGGAGGGAAGGTTGATGAAAGTTTGCATAACATATCTACAGATAAAGAAGATGTTGATATCGAGGGATCAACTAAAACAACTGAAAACACAGTAGAAGAAGCACAAAAAGATTTAGATGAGGGAGTTCAGGAAGAACAAAAACCTGGGGAAAACACAGACCAGGAACAAGAGAAGAACAGTCAGGATAAGACAGAAAATGAAATGATTACTTATCAAGATGCAGTGTCTCAGGAGGACAATGTTTGGGAAACCAATCCAGCAGCTAACTTTAGGGCAACAGCTGTTGAGGCAAAGGTTGCTTTAGAAAACACAGATCAGGAAACAACCTTAATTACGAGAAGAAGTCTCAGGTCCCGAACAGTAACAGTCCAATCTACACCAGGAAGAACGCCAAAACGGCTCCACAGACAGAAGGTGGAGCCAGAAAAAGAAACAAAGAGTGACAAATGTGGAAATGAAAATGACTCGGCATTACCACAACTAGCTGATGATTTAAGTATCACTGTAGAAAGTATTGCTGAATTTGAAGACACAAAGGATCAAGAGGACATTATTCAGCTAAATACTGAAGATATGGTTGCAGAAATTGAGACAAGAGAGGATACAGTGGAGGAGGGAAAAGAAATCCAAGAAAAAAATGAGCTGGAGAAGACTCACAATGACAATCTTGAGAGAGATGTTCAGGTCTCTAAAGAACAGGATGAGGTCTCTGATGTACTGGATAAAGAGAAGCAACTCAAAGAAATTCAAAATGAGAGTGCTGCAGGTGTGCAAGGATGTTCTTATGATACGGAGGAAACAAGAATAACCCTTAGAAAAAGAACCATAGTGGAAGAAGCTGCTCCAAGAAAATCCAAACGTTCTCGCAAAGAAGTACACAGTGAAGATATCGAGCACATAAAGGAAGCAGTTATGGGGCAATCTGAGTCAATAGAGGACAATGTAGAGCTGAGGTCAGATGAATCCTCAGTCATTTTTGAGGTTAGTAATTCACAGGAAGAAATATTACAGGAAATTCTGAGTAATACAGAGGAAAGCAACAGACAAATAGAAACGACAGATGAAACACTCGGGACAGTGATATCTGAGCAATGTCTGGAGGCAGAAGAACAACAACTTGAGTCCAGTGCAAATGAAGGTTTCACTTTAGAGTTGGAGGTAGAGGAAACATCTGATCTAGAGGAAAACAAAGTAGATGAGGAAAACAGCATGTCCATTGAGCCTCCAAAAGTGGTATCCACATCTGCAGAAAAATTAGAAGGTGAAGAAAATACCTCTGATAACGACGAGAAAGGGCTTTCCATTAAAAAGCATGTTTGTCAGAGTACCAAAGCTGCAGTTTCAGCTAGACGAAAATCAATGAGACTACAAATGCACGAATCGAAAAAGAAAACAAATGAATCTGACTCGGAAGAGTCAGAAGTGAGATTTCAGAGAAAACGAAAAGCCATAACTGATTCAACACCTGCACGAAGGTCAAAACGCCATGCTAGGGGAAAAAACATTTAGTCGTTTTGTTGCTCCAGTGTTTGTTAGGTTTTCAATAGATCAAGTAAGGTAACAACAAAAAATTTACATAATGTGAAGTTTTCTATTTCATTTAATTTGCAAAATAATACAAATTATCTAAACAAATATAGATTTGTAAACGAAAATGAAAAACGAAAAGCCATAACCGATTCAACACCTGCACGAAGGTCAAAACGCCATGCTAGGGGGAAAAAAACATTTAGTCGATTTTTTGCTCCTGTGTTTGTTAAGTTTTCAATGCATCAAGTAAGGACCAGCAAAATATTTACATAATGTGAAGTTTTCTATTATATTTAATATGCAAAATAATACAAATTATCTAAACAAATATAGATTTGTATTTTTTTAAAGATATTTGTGGGATTTTTAAAAAAAACTGTTTTTTTTAAATAATAATTTTCTTGTAAATTACGCATGTTAAGTATAACATTTAGGGTCAGATTTACTAACAGCTTGTGCCAGCAAAAATGCTCTTTTACACACAGATAGTTTTGCAGCTGACCTCTCAGCACATAAATAATTAGGAGTTTCTTTTTAAATGCAAGTTTTAAAATTTGAATGTTTAAATGAATAGTGGAATGAGATTTAGTAAAGGTTTCAGTGGTCAAATTACTGGTGTGTGCACTATTATTTAAAGGTGCCATAGAATCCATTGATTCATTTCATGTTTAAATCATTTTCTGCTATCTCCATAGAAGGTATAATAGGGAAAAAAAACTCCAAAAAACTTCTATAGGTTTTACAAGCCTATAGAATCCATGCAGAGAGTTGAATTATGTGGACTTAACATATTTGAAATTACAGCAGGAATTAATATCAACTTATTACGTTAACAGATGAGTTTTATGAAGTTCATTTTGATCCTTTCACTCTGGAAAAATCACAAGAGCTCAGTGATAGGACAGAAACGTGAATAAGCATTTGCCATTTAAGAGGTAATCGTCTTTGAGAATTACGATTTCCACACATCAGTTCTAAGAATTCGTTAAATTTATTCCAAAAATATTCTAAAAGTTTCGAAATTATATATATATACTTCAGAAATGACCTCAGTATATTCATGAATAAATAACAAGCTGTGTCATATTTATTCTGTGAATGATCAAAAGTGAATATTTCTCAGCTAACAGTCCATTCTGAATGCAGAAATGCATGATAAAAAAAATAGTTTTGCTTTTCTACATTTACCATGAAGTGACAAATCAGCCATTTGGCTGAGTATGTTTTTGAAAATTTATTACAAACAAACTAAATATTTTTTACGACACAAAGTAACATAACTTTGTAAAGTTAGGGCTCTTAGAGGGTAATATGTCAAAAAAAAATGCTTACCTTGCAAATTATCACCAAAAACAGTTCACATGTATGGTGTGATTTCCTTGTTTTTGGCTTCAATGGTAGAAGCAATTTTGTTATGAGTGCAGTTGATTGAGTTAGTGACAACTAGTAGATTTTGTTGGCATAACATACTTCAACCAGATGGTAGAGATGGCTCAATCAGGTTTAGTAAAGTTAGGTACCCCCAATAGTATCTGGATGCAGCCTTTATGATTCATGCTGAGATTGCATCACTCAGAGATTAGGGGTGGGGTAACGTGAGCGCATTAGGTGGGTGCACTGAGTCTGCAGCCAGACCCCTCTTGGTACTCCTCTCAGTAAAGTATAGTCATTCAAAATATGGTCAACTATTTGGTCAATCAGGCAGTTAAAGGGTTAATCACTTATATGGAAAATTACCAATATACACGTTAAACTAAGAAAATATACAGTTAAAAACTGACCTTATGCCTCCTTACAAGCCGCTGAATGAATTTATAATCCATCATTTTCTGTTTTAACAAGCTATACACAATTAAGTTGCCATTTCATTGGCTTACCTCAGAGCTAACGCCAGTCTCATTTTCAAAATAATAGTCCTATACATAGGAAATATAACAGAAGATAGGGTGGGGGGGGGGGGGTATAATTGTTGTAATCACAATAGTAAACATTGCAGCCAAACAAACTCTGCAGTGGCGTGCATATTTTTGATCTCTTGAGTAACGTCAGAGTTTGGGCTTTGTTTGGATTGGCCTGTTTTTCACCATGTTTTACACTCACTAGTGTTTAAGGCTTAATGTATGTCATTTAAATGTACAGAATTTTTATTGTTTGGCTATGCCTAGGTATATCCAGTTTTTCATTCTATGGCACCTTCAATGCACCAAAATCTTTTGTGCGCCAATATAATTAGTAGATTTTCCACACTTGCTCATCATTAGCTCTGCTTGTTTGTACCTTATTTGCGCGGGTCTTGGTAGATTATAATACATTTTATGGAATTGTTGATTGTCAGTGGAGCACTTACAGAACTGTTTAGTTAATCTGGCACGGTTGATTTGTTACACTATATTCTTAAAGTTAGACACATTCTTTCTTTCTTTTTTCGTTTTTTTATTTTATATAGTGAATTTACATTCAGCAAATCCCTAATAGAAATAGTTTGTAATGTACAGTGATATTTTTATATGCATTTCATATTAAATAATTTTGTTTACCTTCTGTAAATCTTCAGTGTAGTTTGGCTCTGGATAGGAGGCTAAATTAAACATTGTTCACATGTTAAAGTGTTTTGTTTGAAAGAGTTTTTTATTAAAGCAAAAAACACCACAAAGCTGTGGTTTGAAGTGAATATATAATATCTAAGGAACATTTCAAGCCCTTGGTTGTTATAAACTCACTGCAAACCTGCTTCTAGGGATTTATTGCTTTTAGAAAATAGGTTTTCCATAATCGTAGAAAGGTTTCACAAAACAATAGAAAAAAAAGTTTCTTTGGGTCAGTACTTAGTGGAATTGTTGCCAAGCAAAAGTCACAGGTGTGTTTTTGCAGAATTAAACGCAGCTCAACCAATCAGACCATAACTATATCTTTAATAATGTACAGTTTGAGCTTTCATTACATACAATATACCTTTCAAGGTTTGTAACATGTATAACTTTAATGTGTATAACACTTATTTTATTCTAGAAAACCTATTTGATTTGCGGGTAACACTTTAACATAAGTTTCCATTAGTTAATGTTATTAAATGTATTTGCTAACTTGAAGAAATGATAAACAATGCATTTAATAAAGTGTTGGATAATGAAAATAAAGTTAACAAAGCATTGCATTAGTAAATGGTAAACTATGATTAATAAATATTGTTTATTCTTAGTTACAGTTAGTAAATACACTAATTAATATTAACTGGAACCTTATTGTTATAAAATGTGACAGCAATTGTGTATCTGAAAGCAATTTACTTTGTAACTGGATCATTTTATCATATTCATATGCTTTCTGTAATATGTTGGTGTATGTGTAATTCTGTGGGTTTGTAAAGGGTTATTTCATCCTTCATTTTGTTAGCAAAGGAGTGTAATTTGTTTTGCTTTTCACATTCATTATTTAGTTTCATTGAGCTTTGTGATTGTCCTGTCAAACATTTTCTTACCTGTTTTTTTTAATAAAGTCATTAATTACCTGAGTTTATTTTGTTTTTTTTTTATTTGTGTCAATTGTTTGTTGGGGTACTCACAATCTTTAATCACATAAAGCAAACTGTTAAATTTGGTGGGGAAAAAACTTTTTTAATACAACCAATTACAGTCGAACGTTATCACTGGATTGAATGGGCGTTATCGGTTATCGGTTGATAGATATAGGCCCGTAGGAACCTTCCGCTCCTGCTGGTAGGCTCAGAGGGCTGTTATCATCCATCCACATGGTTAATTAGCTATAGATCACATACAGCTTCGGCCGAAAGTTAGGTAGAATTATTTCTATTTTTTATTAAATTTCCATTAATTGTATTTTGTTAACGTCTACCCCTACCCCAACCCTAAATTCATCTGTCACAGTAATGTAAAAACAGATATGAATCTGGAGTCTTCTCTATTAGTATAGCTGATTAACTATGTGGATAGGTGATAACAGCCTTCCGAGTGCAGAATGGCACTACTGGCCCATATCTATCACCACTGAAAACGCCCATTCAATCCAGTCATTATATTCGAAGCGAGTTTGTCATATCAAGTTTACTTTACTTACTACCCACAAAATATCTTTCAGTCTTATACAATAACCCCAAAATTAACTTATTAACAATAAATGAATGTTAATCCATTTTGCACAGTAAAATATGACTTTCTACTTTTGGATATATTAATGCTTAGCTTTACTAACACTAAGGCAACTATGACTGAAGAAATTTCACAAGGAAAACACTCAATGCCTTATCACTGATTAATGTTTTGAGTAACATATATATTTATCTTTTAGTTTTTCAATGCAAAAATGTATGTCATCTAAAATTTGTAACCACACAAACAGCAACATAAATGAAAGGCATCGTAATTCTGTCTTCATTTCCTTTACCTTTATGTGTTCAAAACACATTACAAAACACACACACACACACACACACAAAATATTTTTTTATCTTCTGATGAACACAAAAATAAAATATTTTGAAGAATTTTAGTTGCTGAGACCAGTGGTGGAAAGAGTACTGAAAAAGCAAACTTAAGTAAAAGTGTCATTACTTGCCTAAAAATGTAGTGTGAGTAGAGTTAAAGTACCTGTTGTAAATATTGCTCAAAGTAGGAGTAAAAAGTAGCCCTTTTAAAACTACTCATGAGTACTGAGTATTATGCTGTTAAAAGTTGATGCATTTACATGTAATTTGTGGATGTGTGTAAACGTAACATTCTGTAGTGCATTTAGTTATTACCCAGCAGGCACAAGATGTCATAAAACGTTATTATTAGGTTAGATTCAAGTTGTGATGTCAGGTGACCAAAATTCAATGTCTAGCCAGTGTCTAAGGACAACATTATTTTGATGTCCAATAATGACATCAAATGACGTTGATATTTGGTTGATTTTAGGTTGTTATAAAGTGACCAAAATAAAATGTTACACATCTTAAACCAACATCCTTTTGACGTCAAATACTGACATCTATTCATCAGGTATGGCGACCAAAATTCAGCGTCTGATAGATGTCATAGTGGTAATGTTGAAACAACATCAAGCTGTAACATAATTAGACGTTGATATTTGGTTGGTTTTAGGTTGGACGTTGGACATTGACATCTGGCTGATGTTGAGTTCTGATGTAAACCTGATTTTCATTTCCAAACAAAATGCAGCATCTCCACGACAATAGGGTACAATTTCAATCTGACGGCATGTTGACGTCTTGTGCCTGCTGGGTGTTTAAGGCCATTTCGGTCATCATACAGTAATTATCCATCATCTTCTCATCAGTGACATGCATCTAAACCAGGGGTGCCCATACTCGGTCCTGGAGGGCTGGTGTCCTGCAAAGTTTAGTTCCAATCCCAATTAGATGCACCTGGGCTATAGCTAATCAATCTCATACTAGATTTTCTAGAAACATCCGTGTAGGTGTGTTGAGGCAAGTTGGAGCTAAAATCTGCAGAACATCGGCCCTCCAGGACTGTGTTTGGGCATCCCTGATCTAAACAGTCTCTGGGTCAAGGCGTGTAAAGTTTTTGTACATCTTTTAGGATACTTAATGCATCCAAACAGTTTGCTGCAATGTAAAGTGCACATGTCTTAAAGTAGTTCATTATGATGCAATTTACCTTCTATGTGTTAGTTAATTGGACAGGAATTACATGACTTTTCTAATTCCCATAAACCAGAAAAAATAAAGAAGTAACTGCAGGTTAAAGAAAAGTAGTGAAAGTAAAAGTAGATACTGCACTAAAAATGTACTCAAGGAAAAGTAAAAGTACACATTTTTAAACTACTTAGTAAATTACACTTTCTGAGAAAAACTACTCAATTACATTAACTTGAGTATTTGTAATCTTTACACCACTGGCTGAGACCCATTAAAATCCATTGTATTGTTTTGCATACTGTAGTGACCAACATTCTTCAAAATATCTTTTGTCTTCAACACAAGATAGAAACTCATAAAGAATTATTACCACATCAGGGGTGTCAAACTCAATTCCTGGAGGGCCGAAGCCCTGCACAGTTTAGTTCCAAACAAGCCTGAAGGACTCAATTAGTTTGATCAGGTGTGTTTAATTAGGGTTGGAACTAAACTGTGCAGAGCTGCGGCCCTTTTGGAACTGAGTTTGACACCTGTGGCATAGATGAACCCTTTATGTAACATTAAAGCTACAGCAGTAAAGTGATTAATTTAAGTTAGTTACAATGATACAATAAGGGGTGACTTCTTGCATTTAATATAGTATATTTTGTACAAGTCAAAATATATCGATAGTATTATTTTTATTGCACACCTTTATGTAGCATGAAAAAGATGATAGTGTACTTCAGGTGATGTATGAGTTTGAGGAAAACTTAAGGTTACAAATACACGCAGTTTCCCTAAAAATTCACACTTTTCATATTCCAATAGACTCAATTATTAAACAAGCAAAGACATTCATTCTGAGGTACTTAATTTTCCAAATTACAGTTTTAAAAAAAGTTTAGTGGAAATGCCACTTTAGTAGATAGATAAAGTGTCCTCTTTTCACAATATCCACAGTTTTCATATATATATATTTTGATATACGTTATCGTTAAAACACATTACACAGTCACATTTTTAAATACTGTTTTAAATATCTTTTAGTAAGGGACTCGTCTAATGAAGGAATCTGCTGGAACTTTTATTTTGAAATGTGGGCGACACAGCCCGGAAACACTGGTGAACAGACCGTTGCTTTATTTACAGTGTTTAGTGGCTTTATTTAAAGCGTAAAGTTGTCGTATATGCCTAAGCAATGGCATTATTTATTTGTTTTTATTTTTCCTGACCAATTCCAGTTTTAGCGAATATTTTTATTCATAATTTACTGCTAAAAGACAGCGCATGTGGTCGTAAAAGCAGCACTGTTCACCTATGATTGCGAAATTCCAGAGGAAAAACTGAATCAAGGTAAATAACACTAGTAGAGGATGGAATTCTTTGCTTAATTCTGCACTATTGCAAACACAGAAGGAATGAATGAATTAACATATATGCATGTAGTAATGACAGTATATGTTTTGCTTTATGGTTTATTGTGTTTAGTCAGGATTGAGCATGCAGTGTGTTAAACTGCCCGTCAGTGTGACAGTGGAGATAAATGTGCTGCTGCTGGCGGTTACAGCACTTGCCCTCTTTACTCGACTTTATGGCATTCACTTTCCCAAAGCTGTAGTGTAAGTGTGCTTCTAATTATTATCATATTTAAACATTTTCTTTAAAATGTATTATTAGCGTATAAACTCATATGTGTACCACCTTTGTTTAGGTTTGATGAGGTTTATTATGGACAGTTCCTGTCATTGTACATGAAGCAGGTTTTTTTCATAGATGAAAGCGGTCCTCCTTTTGGACACATGATACTTGCTTTAGGAGGTGAGGAATAACGTATTTATTATTTGTAAGTTACTTTTATGAGGTAAGCCACTTATTTGTATATGTACTAATGAGTGTTATTTATCTGTTTAGCGTATTTAGGAGGATTTGATGGCAACTTTGTTTGGAACAGAATTGGAGCAGGTGAACATCTCAAACACACTTATGTGGGGTTGACAAAGCCAAACAACTGTTCATTATAACCTCACAAATCTTTCATAACCTAATTTAGACTCTAAATTCTTCTAGAGGAGTTAAATTAATTTTTTTTAATTTTTTTTTATTTTGACAAATACAAATCAAAACTACATTCAAAACATGAAGTGCCTGACACAACAAAATTGCACATACAGGAATATACACTCACCTGCCACTTTATAAAATACACCTGTCCAACTGCTCGTTAACTCCTTTCAGCTAAGAACAGGATTTAGAGGCTACAATTCACTCACCAAAATTGGACAATAAAAGATTGGAAAAAACATTGCCTGATCTGATGAGCCTCAATTTCTGCTGTTACATTTGGATGGTATTGTCAGAATTTGGCGTCAACAACAAGAAAACATGGATCTATCTTGCCTTTTATCATCGGTTCAGGCTGGTTGTGGTGTTATGGTGTGGGGATTTTCTTGGCATGCATTGGGTCCTTGGCATGCACTGGTTAGTACCAGTTGAGCATCATATCCACGCCACAACCTTGCCGAGTATTGTTGCTGACCATGTCCATCCCTTTGTGAGTGTCCACAGTGTACCCATCTTCTGATGGCTACTGTACACTGCACACTACTCAAATGGCCTCCACAGTCACCATATCTCAATCCAAGAGAGCACCTCAGGCATGTGGTGGAATGGGAGATTGGCATCATGGATGTTCAGCTGACAAATCTGCAGTGATGGTATCTTATCAATTTCTGAGGAATATTTTCAATACTTTGTTGAATCTACTGCCTATTAAGGCAGTTCTGAAGGCAAAAGGGGTCCAACCTGGCACTTAAAAAATGTAACTATTTTAAGAGCCACGGTGAATAGAGATGTGTTTTATTCTGTACTAAAAAAAAAAAACTTAAAATAAAAAAAGTAATTTAGAACATTTCCTGCATAATATAACAAAAATATGCTACATGTTCTGATATGTTTATAGTGTATACATTTTTACAAATTTTTAAATGACAAATTGCCAATGTTTTATCTTCTGAAAGGGTATATATGGTGGAATAACCCTCATTTTCAGTGACAGCAAATCAATTGTCATATTCAGGAAAAAATGCTCTTAATGATTTTGTTTAAAGTTGGAAAAAATGTAATGAAAATGTTTTATTTTATTCAAACCCATAAAAATGTTGTCATTCCATAGAAAGTCTCTAAGTACAAAAGATCTATTGAAAAACCCTTTAATTTCTTTCCATAGCTTTATGTACAAAATATGTAGGTAATTTAAAGTCGCTCTTTGCCCGCCTAGGATGTTTTCCGAGGCCCCTGTTTGCATATGGGGACTAGTCTTTCAATCTGCTTTGACTAGATTTTACTGTCTAGCAATCTTCTAGTTAGAACACCAATTTAAAAAAGATGTACATCTCTTCAAGCTGTAAATCATATTTAAACTACATGACCCACTAAGAATTGTATAACAAAACATTTCAAACGTTTTCTGGCATAACACAGGCTTTAGTCTTACTAGTTATGTTTTTACATTTTAGAATACCCTGGTAATGTCCCTGTTTGGAGCCTTCGACTGATACCGGCTCTGGCAGGCTCTTTTTGTGTGCCACTTGCATATCTTGTAGTAGTGGAGCTGGGATACTCCCACTTCTCGGCACTGGGGGCCTGTGCACTTCTCCTCATGGGTAACCACTTACTGAATCATTTAACTCAATGCCTGAGCACGCTTTGTGCTTCTTGTTAAGCTTAAATGCCTTTGGTTCTTTTTCTTCCAGAAAACTCCCTGATTGTGCAATCGCGCTTCATGCTGCTGGAGTCTGTTTTAATTTTCTTCTTGCTGTTGGCTGTGCTGTCTTACCTCCGCTTTCACAAAGCACGCAAGTAAGACTTTGGGCAAATCTCGGTTCCTTTCAAAGACTGATATGGATAAGCTTGTCAATCAGTTATTACATTATGTGCTTTGTCTTCATCCAGCTCATTTTTCAAGTGGTTTTGGCTTGTGATCTGTGGGGTCAGCTGTGCATTCGGAATTGGGTATGTATAGTTAAAAAAACACAACATGATTTTTTTTTAAAAATATCTGCTTTTTGTGATAAGAAGTACTTTTTTGTTTAATATAAAGTCAGCATGGAACTGATGTCTTCTCTATTGTGACAAACACTCATTGGGTACTTTATTATACATCTTGCTAGCTCTGATCCCCCATTGCTTTTCAGAGATGCCCTAATTCTATGTGGCGTAGCTTGTGGGAAAGATGCTGAAAACTTTCCTTAGAGATTTTAGTCCATATTGATGCGAAGCTTAACATTTACTGCAGATTTGTTAGGTACACACACACGATATGAATGCCCATGTGCATCACATGCCAAAACTGCTTTATTGGATTGAGATCTGGAGGCGCATTACAGAAAGATCCTAAATTTATAATCTTATCTCTTTGGCAACTGTTGTAATTTCGGTTAAGACCACATTTGTATAAGTGCTATTACAAAACAGCATTTCCTAGATGCGTTATTTTTTTCTTTTACTATAGATTGGAAGGTGGTTTTATAGAAACATCCTAGCTTGACAAAAAAAATTATTTTAGAGCAACCTAACAGCTGTCTTAACTTTAAACTTGAAAGCTAACAAAACAATTGCTTATAATTGCTCTGTCCAACAATGGCATTACATTTATTAATTGGCAAAAGTGAAGAAAGAAAAGACTCCTGGAGGACTTTGAAGATATTACATCTCAATGACCAAATTTTATTAGTAAATATAGACTATCACACACCATATTACTGTTAGCACAGGGACTGCAACCAGCATTATAGAGACCACAGTGTCACGGATCATTAGTGGTTGCCAGAGTTGGTTGTAATGCGTTGATGTATGCTAATTACATTTTTGGGGAACACAGTAATGTAATGAATTACATTTTAAATTTGTGTAATTAGATTACAGTCACTAAAGTCAATGTAATTGCGTTACTAACATTACAACTGTAGTTTTTAGGAGAAAAAATGCTTCTTTTAAATCACGTTTTCCACTGCAGCATGAGATAATAATCATGCGCTTTTATGAACTGCTGGAGAACACTAGCTGAAATGGTTGCTGTCGAGAGTGATTGCTTCAAGTGGAAATACTGACATTTTTTTATTTCATTGAGCGTAAAAACTAAAATATTGCTGTGAAATGCAGTCTGTGTCCAGTCTCTAAAAACTTTCCACTGCTTTTAACTTGACCAGCAACTTGTTTAGGCATTTAAATAGAATCATTCTATGACAATACTTGTCACCAAGGAGGACACTTGGCCAAAAACACGGCAGTCCAACTCGTTCTAAACAGGCTTAATTGAATTTTTGTGCAAAATCGGGAGTGAAGGTATCTTCTGAATGTGAAGTGAAGTGCTGCTTATGGGGCCGTTCACATATCGCGTCTTTTGTGCTTGCAAGTTCGTTATTTCCAATAGTTATGCGTGGCTTGCGAACACACATCGGGAGTGCATATTGGGCGTGCTCACATTTTACAATCATTGGGCGCACCAGTTAAAAACCACGAGTGACACATGACCAGAATTGACAGATCAACTTCATACTTTATATGGAATTTATACATTTCAGTAGACTAATCACCTCAGACAAACACAGAACACCCAAACACTGCAGTGCTTTTTCATACTTTGGATGTCAATGGTTACAGGTATCCAGTTTTCATCTAAATGTCTTTTGTGTTAAAAAAAAGACAACCAGGTTTGTATCAATTGAACGATGAGAAAATTTTAAGTTTTGGGCGATCTCTTTAAGGCTTTTGAATGTGTCAAGCTGCTGTGATCAACACAGCACAACACATCATGTTGTTCAGTGATTATTAAAGTACTCAAAGAGCTGCAGTTTATTTTGTATTTTCATAGGTATATTTTATATGTTTTAAAAGTAACTTCAAAGTGAAGTAATCAGTTTACTTTTTACATGAAGGAATTAGTAATGTCAGATTACAATTTTACAGTAGTTGACTAATTGTAATCTATTACTTTTTTATAGTAACTTACCCAACAATGGTGGTTACAGTTCAAGTGACTAATGCCTTTAGTGCAAGTTTTGTGAATAATCCTAATTGAATTTGTTGTATCATATCTTAAGTTGAGACCTAAGATGAGAAAGTTTCTGTAATATACTTCATAGTGCCCACAAATTTGATTTGTTTTTCCATTTTTTTTCTTTTTTTCAGAGTAAAGTACATGGGTATGTTCACATACTTTCTACTGCTGAGCCTGGCAGCTGTACACACCTGGCAGCTTATTGGAGATCAAACCTTGAGCCATGTATGTAATGGTTTATAAATATACATGTGTTTTAGATGAGGCTGCACAATACTGGATAAATATTGCAATGTTGTTAAATATTGCGATAGTGATGTTTCTTACAAAATAACATTTCCCTAGAAAAAAACTATTTTTATGAGCTATGATTTAAAATAATTTATTTTATTTAAAGATATTAAAATAATCAGGTAAAGATATTTACCTGTTTTTTTTACATTAAACATTTACCTGAAATTTAACATTTAGACTAAAAAACTGTGAAGATGCAAACATTTAGTCATTAGAACACTATGAATGAGTGAAAACCTCAGCAAATATTTTGACTCTGATTGGACTATGTTGTCATTTTCCTCTCGTTTTGACTCCCATCATAAAATATTGTTTTCCATAGCTGGGTTTACCTTTAGGCTGCTCCAGCCAATAGCAAAACAGCATCTACTTGGGAGGTGGGGATAAATATAGTAGGGCCCCATCTGATTGGTTGAGTTTAGATAAAAAGAAAAACAATGCATAAAATAAGTGAAGTTTATTTCTAAACTAAGTTCGAGTTGATCACGGCTGGTCCCGCATTAGCCAATTTCTGATTCCTCAATCAGACGATTACTAAACACCATAAATAACCTAAGTTCCATATTCATCTTCATTTTAAGGAATCCTCCCCTACTACTACTCTTTGCCTAAATTGGTGCCACGGCGGCCCAGTGGTTAGCACTGTTACCCAACAGCAAAAACTTAACTGGTTCTAGTCCTTACCAAGCCAGTTGACGTTTCTGTGTGGAGTTTACATGTTCTCCCCGTGCTCGCGTGGGTTCCCCTGGTTTCCTCACACCGTGCAAAAACATGCAACTTAAGTTAATTGACTAATCCAAAATGGCACTATAGACATGCTTCTAGTAGGTAATTATATTCTTATAACAATTCCTAATTGCTCATAGCTACTACAGCAGGGGAGTTCTCAAGATCTACCTGAGCTCAAACTCCACTCTTGCCCTGCAAATGGGAGGGAGCCCTGGGCTTGAGGATCTTATGAGCTCAGGGCTCTCTCTCAGGAAAGCATGCCAAACAAGCTTCATAATCGATCATCAGCTGAGTGTGAACTCTTGAAAGGCAGTTCATTTCATGTCTACGATATTATTGCAATACTGATAATTTTCTGTATATATTGTGCAGCCCTAGTTTTTGAGCACTGTGTATAACTTAATGATTTTGTCATTTGTCTGAAAAGGGCAAAGTAATGTTCCAGGTATTGGTTCGCTTCCTGGCACTCGTGGTGCTACCTGTCATCATGTACCTTGGGTTTTTCTACATTCATCTGACCTTGCTATATCGCAGTGGACCTCATGACCAGATGATGAGCAGTGCCTTTCAAGCAAGTCTCGAGGTAAGGGCCAGTTATTTGACATACAATGCTTTCCAAAAGTTTGGGGTGTGTACGCTTTTTTTTCTTTGATTTGTAAAGGATTAGTGCAACCATAAATGACAATTCTATTATCAGGTTTGCTACAGGTTTCATCAAGTCAAATTTAAGACTTTTAAGATCGTTTTAAGACCATTATGAATGAAAGGTTTTACTTTTCTTCTGGCCCAGTAAAGCATTAAAAAACATGGAAGATAATCAAACCATAAAGGTAAATAGAGTTAATAAATAAACTTTTTTTTAAACATTTATGTTAGTGGATTGCTAGAGATGTGTTGGTGATCGGATGGGTGTTAGCCCGATTGGGTAGCTTTACATGGATATAAGAAAATTAAGAAAATTATATTCCCAAAATGTTGAATCCTAGATGGCATAATGTAATAATTTGTTTTAATCCATTGTTTTGTTTCTCCTGTGAAGGGTGGTCTTGCCCGGATCACTCAGGGGCAGCCTTTAGATGTAGCATTTGGCTCACAGGTCACTCTCCGCACAGTCTCCGGTAAACCTGTGCCTTGTTGGCTTCACTCACACAAGGCCAACTATCCCATCAGGTGAGACATCAATAGTCTTTCACAAATAAATACATCTATTGGCATAATATGACAGAAACATTTAAACACCAGCCATTCATTTATCCTGACCAAATTGGAAGGGTTATAATCTAATTTATACATATTTAACCTAATTGAAAGTACACTTGGGCTGAGTGACTGATGTTGAGTCACTGACTTTCATGTTTTGAAGATCTAAGGTGAAGATCTAAGGTGAACTATATGCTGCTGCTTTCAGTAGTATGGCAATACATGACATATAAAATAATATTCAAACTCCCATTGGTAGCATTTAACACTAAAAAAAGCACATAATTTGTACCTAAGGAGATAATCGTCAGCAGTTTAGGGTGTTTTTTTGCCGCAATGTCACGGAAATAGAAACGTTTCTAAAATAGAAATTTTGGTTTGGACAAAAAAAAAAAACTATACCTTTCATCACGTCATGTGTTGATAGAACATGATGTGACTGTCACACTGCAACGGCTAGATGCTGTCTACTGTGACCGTGACCATGAAAAAATGTTTGTCTTTTATACACAAAAGAAACAGAACAGGGCAGCCGTTTACCATTTAGGACTTGTCATGTTGGATTAGTGTCACTTTCTTCTAGGGTCGGTTCTTTACATGTGGATTATTCAGTATCCTGGACATTTTGTTTTTTTATAACTCATCTAGGAGTTGTTTATTTTATATGATTGGATTGTGTCATTTCCAGCAAAGCTGATGCTGAAAATATGTACCAACTACTGATATTTCCTTAAAGGAGTACTGTATTAAATTAATAAACAATATTGTAAAAATTACAATTAGTTGTTTTTATAAGTATTTTTTTAAGTAATATTGAATAATTTGTAATGTAACCTACACTTGGTACTTGGTCTTGGTTGGTACCTTTTAAAGGGTTTCAAAAGAACATTTGTGTACATTTTAATGACTAATGCTAATACTAATACTTAGTACTAATGTATATTTTTAAGTTACTGTACCAATATGGACTTTTTAGAAACAATCACAAATTTTGAAAAAGGTGCAGCCCTAGCTTTAGTACAATATAAGTGTATGATAATAGACATGGCCAATATTTTAATTGTGTTTTCTTTTGTTTTTTTTTGTTGAACAAATAAATATATGATTTACAGGAGTCACCCATAATATTGACAGCTATTATTGTTTATAATAATTTTCTAAAGGTTATAGCGTATCATTTAACAAAACTATTTAACTTTCTATGATTTTTGTCATCTTGCTCACATGGCTTATACTCTAATATTAATCTGATGATTCTATTGTGTTGCTGTCTTACCGCTAGCCAATCACTGGCACTGCTAATCATGATTTCACAACAAGCACAAGTACACACAGTAATCTTTGACCAAATTAACCATATATTTTAATCTAATTCACAGACTTGTTTGAAGAACTAAATTAGCCATGGATCACAAATAAAAGATTCAGATTCGTTCAAATCATCTTTGATTCTTTGATGCTTTAAGACAGTGACTCGCGACCCCTAATATTCACTGAGGTGGTTATAATTACAGAAACCTTGCATGCAATGGCCCACACACACCAATAGACATCACCCAAGTCTATTCTTCGTTTAATTTTTTTAATGTATGTCAGTGCTGTAAATGAGCAAGAAAGTTTACACCTGGTGTTATAAAATCAATCTGCAGCATCTGACGCTATTGTGGTGTCTTCAGTATAATGTAATGTAATAACCGCAGGGATCACAATCCAATAGAACTAGTAACTAGAAGCTACTACACTAACTATATAGTATATAGTAACTATAAACTATTATTTTTTAAAAATATAGTAATTCTTGTGTTTAATAAAAATAAAAAGATTTTTGGAAATCATCAGGCGAACAGCCCCACCCCCCACAGAGGGCCACAGCTATGCACAGTTTAGCTCCAATCCCTCTAACTCACACCTGCTTAATCATCTCTAGTAGTCTTGATCACCTTGATTAGTGTCATCAGCTGTGTTTGATTAGGATTGGAGCAAAACTGTGCAGAGCTGCGGCCCTCCAGCAATCCAGTTAGAGACCTACTGTATAGTTTAGACAAAGTGTAATCCAAAATAAGCACATCTTCATGCTGTTTATTAATGTTTAAAGGTATGAAAATGGCCGTGGAAGCTCCCACCAGCAGCAGGTGACCTGCTATCCTTTCAAAGATGTCAACAACTGGTGGATTATCAAAGACCCTGGGCGGTACGGATTTAGAATTTTAGCATTATTAAACCATTAATGGATGTTCATATGACCAGTATGTGGGTTTTATATCAAGTTTATATTAATTATGTTTTTTTTTTTTTCAGGCAAAGTCTTGTGGTCAGCAGCCCACCCAAACCTGTCAGACATGGGGATATTATTCAGTTGCTGCATGGAATGACAACTCGCTACCTGAACACGTAATACAATTATATCCAATGTTGATCTAATTATTTAATATTAATGGTTATAAATAAAACCATTAACTTTATATTATATTTCCTTTATCTCATTACAGCGGTTTTAGTAATAATCTACGTTTTTGTTTTTAAGACATGATGTTGCAGCCCCCATGAGTCCTCACTCACAGGAAGTGTCGGGCTATATTGATTTTAACGTGTCTATGCCAGCTCAGAATCTCTGGAGAGTGGTAAGAACAAAGACCAGTTGGTCTTCATTGAATGTTCATATTTACTTACTTAAAACATGATTTATGAAGCGTTCTTTGCACTGTAGGATATTGTGAACAGGGAGTCTGAGAAAGAGATCTGGAAGACCATTTTATCAGAGGTGCGACTAGTCCACGTGAACACCTCAGCTGTTTTAAAGGTTTGTTTAGTCATAAAATCAGTATAACAGTATGGGCATAATTATGACTTAAGAGTTTCAGGAAGAAAAAAATATATGACTTTTCATTTCCAATTTATGCATAAATATGTGGAAAGATCACGTATACTTTTTTTTGGAATTGAATGTGATTCTTACTGACTTTTTGCATTAGTTTATCCCCAAAATAAAAATTATTTCATTTAGTTAGACTTTAGTTCATCTTCTGAACACAAATGTAGATTAGATAAGTTTCCTGTCACCTAAAGTTCCCACACTTTCATTAAGAAAAGTCTTCTGAAGGGACACCATTGGCTTATATGGTGAACCGATTTAATTTGGGCTTTAAATTTTGTAAAATTCAGCAAACATGCATTCAGCCATACTTATGTGATAAACCTTTTTGGTTCTTGTGGACATTTTCTTTAAGACTGCATGGGACGATAACTGGTTTCAAGGTATTCCACGGTTTGGAAAAGTCAAGGTTTTAAAACAATCAAAGTTTTCTGTAATACCCTTCCTAAGGTATGTGTACGTTTCTTTATTTTTTATTTTTTTGTTTTTTTAGGGCAACAAAATATCTAGCAAAAAAGGAAACTACATCAACTGGTCCAAAGTATTTAAAAATGTTTCTTAAAATAAAATATGTAATCAATGGGGGAAAACTTGTACATTTTTACGCAGACATTTTAAAGGAAGTTATTTTAGAGCAGTAATCACAATACCGTAATACTGTGAAACCGTGATATTTTTGTCCAAGGTTATCATACTGTCAGAATCTTATATCCGCGTATGCCTACACTCAAAAATCAACCCCATTGATTCTCGCACATTAAGCAAGCATGCTTAAGCTTCTGTGACCAAGCCTATTACTGGTCAGTTTTTGTAAATAAAAGACATCATTAAAGCTGTTCTTCTTCTAAAGCTTTGGAAGACTTGAATTAAACAGATTTTTTGTTAAACAATTTTGATCTCTTTAGCCTCGTTTCCACTGAGTGGTATGGTTCAGTTCCAAAATGCGATGATAATAGTTAAGCTTTGCAGTTTATTTGTGTTGTGATTTGTTTTGTGTTGCTGAAATAATCATTTGTAAGTTGTTTTCTTTTTTGTGCTTCACTTTCACATCTGTCTGATTCTGAAAGAATGTGAGAAGCCACAGTTCAATTATCATGCACTAGTTATTATTATGAGCTCATTATTTCAAATATAGATGAGCGGTGAGTGCATGTAAATAGAGAGTAAAAAAAATTACCTTATAACATTAGGCAAATTCTGTTCTTCTTGGTATGTAGCTGTTTGTCACAAGATGATGACAAGGTTTGTTTGAGCTCGGGTAGACCATGACTCATTATTATATACAGTTCAGAATTATTAGCCCCCCTGTTTTTTTCCCCTAATTTTTGTTTAACGGAGAGAAGATTTTTTTTTCAACACATTTCTAATCATAATAGTTTTAATAACTCATTTCTAATCACTTATTTATTTTATCTTTGCCATGATGACAGTAAATAATATTTTACTCTATATTTTTCAAGACACTTCTGTACAGCCAAAAGTGACATTTAAAAGCTTTGCTAGGTTAATTAGTTTAACTAGGCAGATTAGGGTAATTAGGCAGGTTATTGTATAATGATGGTTTGCTCTGACTATTGGGACAAATTTAGCTTAAAGGGGCTAATAATTTTGACTCTAAATCCGTTATTAAAAAAATAAAAACTGCTTTTATTCTAGCCGAAATAAAACAAATAAGACTTTCTCCAGAAAAACAAATATTATCAGGGTCACACTTTACAATAAGGTTCATTAGTTAATCTTAATTCATGCATTTACTAACATGAACAAACAATGAATAATACATTTACTACTGTATTTACTAATGTTAGTTAACGTTAGTTAAAGAAAATACAGTAGTTCATTGTTAGTTCATGTTAACTCATAGTGCATTAACTAATGTTAAGAAGCATGGACTTGGATGTTAATAATGCATTAGAAAATGTTCAATTAAGATTAATAAATGCTGTACATGTGTTGTTCATGTTAGTAAATGCATTAACTAATGAACCTTATTGTAAAGTGTTACCATTATCAGACATGCTGTGAAAAAGTCCTTGCTCCTTTAAACATCATTTGGTAAATATTTAATAAAGAATAAAAAAATCAAAGGGGGGCTAATAATTCTGATACAATTCAACTGTATATTATTATGATGTAATGTCTTGGGCTGTGAATTTTTTTAAAAAAGGGTGCTTTCTTTGTTTTCATTCTCCTGGCTTGTTGGATGCAAGGTTCACAATTCTCTGTAAACCAATAAGGCTCAGCTGCAAGTCTAGCTCCACCCTTTAGGTACTGTTGTGTTGTGCTTGGTACCCTTTGGAAAGGCTACCCAAAAAGTGGTATGGTTCACAACTGAACTGCTCAGTGGAAATGGCCCATTTATGAAGATTTTGAAGTGCCAGTTTTTGGGTGATTTGTGGTCTTTTAAAAAATTATCAAAGATTTCTGTGCCTTTGTTAAAACCCTTTATACGAAAATACCTTAATATGTGTCCTAAGATTTCTTAGGTGAGCAGACCCTTTCAGTTATTTCTGCCTGTTTTATTAATTGTTCTTGCAGCTTAGTGGAGCCTCTCTGCCAGAGTGGGGTTTTAAACAGCTGGAGGTGGTGGGTGATAAGATTTATAAAGGCTACCAGCAGACCGGCATGTGGAACGTGGAGGAGCACCGCTATGGCAGAAGTATGAACATTAACAACTAAATCATTGAATTGCTTACATTATGCGTTTCTGTTAAGTGCATTTCTCGTAGTACGTACGGTCATTGAAAACCCATGGAGTTTTAAAACGGCATTTTCCAGACCTGGAAAAGGTTTGGAAAAACAAAAACCCACAAAGTTTTGGAAAAGTCATGGAAATTAGTTTTACAAATATTTGTATACTTACACAGGTTGCTTGTCTGTACTTCTTTTCTGTCCTTGGCCAATCACATGCTTTCACATTATATAAGTGCTGTGCAAGCATTCTCTAAATCAGTGTTTCTCAACCACAGCTCACCAACACTAGATGTTTTGGATGTCTCCTTTGTCTGTTTGCGTAAAGAGATATGTAAAATGTGCAGAGCTGGTGTTCCTCCAGGAACGTGGTTGACAACCGCTGATCTAAATACATTTTACATTGTTTTACAAAAAACGAAATAGATTATTGCATGTTTTACGATATGCTGTAATATAAATTTGAACGTGCATTGTTTTTTTTACCACACACATAGACATTACGTGTACTATTAGGTCATGAAGCTTTACATGAAAGTCTTGGAAAAGTCATGGAATTTTAGAGGTAAAAATGTGTTTAAACCCTGATATCTGTGCAGGTCAGGAACCAAAGGAAAGGGAGTTGGAGCTGAAGTCTCCTACTCACAGCGATGTCAACAAAAATCTCACATTTATGGCCAAATTTCTGGAACTGCAGGTGATTATTGAAGTGGTCTGCTTTACTGTATGTTGCACTTTCAACTTTATTTAATATGTAATTTAGTTACAAAGTTAATCCAGAGGCTGTTTTTTTTTTTCCTTTTTCTTAACTTTAATGCCTTAAGTGTAGTCCAATTTTTTTTCCAAGCTACAATAGACGAGGAGTTTAAACTGAGAAGGCTCTAAAGTGCGTGCGAAAGTTTTGTTTTGTGTTGCTGGAGTAAGGCTGTGTGTTTTCCCCCTCCCCCTGAGCTAAGCATTTTTTCCTGTTGTTGTCAATGGAAACAGTGTTTAAAACCTTGGCAGTATGGGATTTTACATTCAGCACTGAGCGCTCTGTGTTTTTTTTAAAGCTTTGATGGTTGAATCATTTACAGCTAAGTGTTTTTTGCACAGAGGTGGACATAAGGCTCCACCCTCTTTTGGAAAGGATGGAGAGCAGCAGTTCATTTGCATTTAAAGTGACACATGAATAAGTGTTTGCTTCCACCATAAAACAAAAAGGATCTTATGTCTTTTTGACATTTTTGTTTAAAAAAATCCAGTTAAAACTGGTTTCATATAGTGAACTAACCTAATGTGTTTGATTACCAGTGGAAGATGCTGACAGTAAAGAACGAAGAGTCAGAGCACAAATATAGTTCATCACCTCTTGAATGGATCACAATGGACACCAACATTGCATATTGGCTTCATCCTTCAAGTAATGTATGTTAACACCATTCTGCCGTTTGTTTCTTGTGTTTGACAGAATGATAACAATACTAATCTGATCTTTTCTGATTTGATACAGGCACAGATTCACTTTATAGGCAATATTGTTACTTGGACCACTGGAAACATTACACTGGTTGTGTACTGTCTTCTGTTTTTAACATACTTACTAAGACGGAGGAGGAAAGTTGAAGACATTCCACAAGGTATACAGATTTTTGTTTTAACCACAATGGAAAAAAGGTGGTTTCACATTTTTGCCCTGACATAACATAAGCCATTTTTACACTATTGTGCTGACTGGCCATTGGATGGTTAAGAAAACTTTATCTTTTGGACCAATGGATAACTGGCAATAAAATAGTTTTCGGTCAACTTAGACCCATGTACATGCTTTTATTATTTGTAAAAGATTTTATAGATCAATTTTGGTCAGTTAACTATTCCCTCAATATAATATATTGCATTTATTATTTGTGTAAAGTTTTACAGTTCAGTTTTGGTGAGATAACTAAATGTACACTAATTGGCCACTTTATTAGGTACATCTTATTAGTACCAAGTTGGACCCTTTTTTGCCTTCAGAACTGCCTTAATCCTTCATGGCATAGATTCAACAAGGTACTGGGAATATTGCTAAGAGATTTTGGTCCATATTGACATGATAGCAACACACAGTTGCTGCAGATATGTCGGCTGCACATCCATGATGTGAATCTCCTGTTCCACCACATCACAAAGGTGCTCTATAGGATTAAGATATGGTGACCATGTCAACATGCCTAAATGCAGAGTTGCTGCCATGTAATTGGCTGATTAGAAACTTGCATCAATGAGCAGTTGGACATTGGCTGGCGAGTCTATATATTTAATTAAAATATAACTAATTTTTTGATCAAAACTTATTTAAGTTTTCAGTGTTATGAAGGATATTGTGCGTATTCTGAGCTACTGTAACCTCAAACTGGATATTTCAGCAGATATGTGGTTCTCAAAGATGACTTATATTTGAGTTAATCTGCACTTATTGTTTACATTACAACTGCATTACCAAAGCTTCAACTGCCACATTTATATCACATTCCAGAGAGCTCTGTTATAAGCATGACCATGGAAAAATAAAACTGTATCCATGCTGACTTTCCCAGATCGCCACAGAAATGAATGGTTAAACACAGAGAACTATTCGGCTTGATAGTGGAAAAGCAGCTTTGTTGCACTGAAAGATTTCTTTAAATAAGTTGTGAGCAATATTAAAAGTAGTGGTGTTTGCTTTTCCATTAACTGTTCTTTCCTTTTTGCTTCGTCTTCTCTCTTAGACTCTTGGGAACAGTTGGTTTTGGCTGGTGTGGTTTGCTTAGGAGGCTGGGCAGTGAATTACCTGCCATTCTTCCTAATGGAGAAGACTCTCTTTCTATATCACTATCTCCCAGCACTGACCTTCAAGATCTTGCAAATACCTATAGTCACAGAGCACCTGTACATCCACGTATTGAGGTAGGAGATATTATTCCGCTATCTGTAGTTCAGCCAAAAATGTTACACAGTATCAGTGTCATATCTGAATGTCATTGTGTTTTACAGATCCTCAGCTCAACAGAAAGCATTTGGTGGTGTGATTTTAGCAGTTCTTTGTTCAGTATACATGTCCTACCACAGCTTGAGTCCTCTCACGTATGGCCAGCCAGCGTTAACATCAGACAAGCTCGCTGAGCTGCGCTGGAGGGAGAGTTGGGATATTCTCTTACGCAAACGCTAAAATATCCTTTATTTTTTTTAAGACAAGATAATTTCATGGTGTCAAAATTTCAAATCGAGATGACTGATAGGGCTGATGGATTTTTTGAGAAATGGATTCTGATTCGAAATGCATCACTTTTCTGTCTTGAATGGATTCTGAGCTCAGTGTTTAACAGGAGATTATACCACATGCTTTACAAACTCTGCTTGCTTCCAATTCCTTACAAATACCACATGAATCTAAAGTAATCAGTAATGAAGTTCAAATTAGGCAATTACAAAAGTGTTTTTAGTGAGCTGTTTACATTAATCTTGTCATAAAGGCCAACTTACATGAAGCACAAGCAATATATGGTTTGAAAATTAGTCGAGTGCAACATGCTGTTAAAAACTAAGTTTAGAATCACTTCAAGAGAGAATAGCAACGCATTTTGAATCAATTTTTCAATATTTCACCATAGTTTTCATGGATTTCCAGAAAGCTGTGAAGCACTATTTCTAGAGTCTGTGCCCAAACATAATAATGTGAAAAAACCCATGCTGCTGAATCTGAAAACTCTAAACCAAATGGACTCTGAAGCACAATTTCCGTGCTACATTTATCATGCTCGAATGTTTACATATTACTCTGTTTGTATAGCGATTTTATTGTATTGTTTTAGAGACTGTTAAACTAATAAGATGCATTGCATTTCTTTAAATATGTTTTATTTGATTCTTGCACAACAGAAAAAAACGTTTAATAAACGTTTATATGACATTAAAACTCTTTATTCTATCTCATATTCATGCATTGTGTCAATAAGTAAAGGAATCCGACAACATGGGAGCAGATAAGCGTGGTAATATGGAATGGAGCACAGTTGTCTATGTTAGATAAATATGTGTCTGTACTGTCCGTTCACTTTGATGCCGTTTAATTCCTTGGCTTATATTGTCAGAGTTCATGAAGGTCTGGTGGTCATTCGGAGTTGAGTGAGGCGAGGGATTTTAGCTGACTCTGCCAGTGCTCATGCCACTGCTGCAGCTCTTTTTCCTGAGCGTCACACTCCCGATGAGCTCTATCCAGCTCCTCCTGAACCCTCCGCCCATACCGCTGGAGGAAGAGTCATTTATATTTGTTTATTTATCAACATTCAGCCTGCAGCAGTGTTTTAGGTGCAGTCCAAAATGAAATAGAAAACTCCACCTAGTAAATGAGTAATGAATGATGCGACAGCTATTGCTGATTCATTTGATCTGTACTCCCTTTATAGTTACAGTAGTTTGTAAATGAAGCTTATTAACAGTATCACAAATAGTACACACAGACTACTTTCATGCTCTGTCAAGCATGCTTAAATGAAAACAAATTTGATGGGTAAAAACTAAAGTAAATGGTTCTTTTAAATTTTTAGGTAATTTGACTAGTTACTTATAATGTACTTGCCTTAAATACTGTACATAAATTCTACAGTTCTGTATAAATCCATTTAGAGAAGAATTTTGGAGTAAAAAAAAAAATCTGTTTTTCAACTAAAGGTTACATTTATCAAGAGGACTGCACATGCTTAAGACAAAAAAAATCAACTAAGGAACTATTTCATGACAATATATACTATTAAGTAACTATATGTATAGTTTGCATAATTCAGTTTAGTCACTAAAGAAGTTTACATGTGTCCAACCATTGCACATGCTTAAACAATGAATTAAATTCATGTATGCTTTATGGTGTCACGACTTTGAAATGTGTTATAGTTTAATGAATAATATTAACTTTCTACGATGTAGCATTTTTAGTACTATTGTGTCAAGTTATAAGTAGGGCCAGATGGAATCTGCAGACAGTTTTTGCTAATTCTGTGCAGAATTTTGGTTAAAATCTGCATATATCTGTGGAATTATTTTGGTAGTATCATTTAAAAACCGTAATATATGAAATAAAAAGTAATACCTTTTTAACTTGTATTTAATGGTTACAATGCAAATCCAATTAGATCCACTTTATTTGGTAAACAAAGCAAGTCTCTCATATAAAATATCTACAAAAAGACATTTTACAAACTATATTGTACATAAATAATATAAATATTTTCCTAGAAATATTTAATTTAAAAACTGAATAAATATGAATTTACGCATATTTACGCAAGTCAATAAGCAAAATCAACGATGGGCTAAAAATCTGTGGAATTCTTTGTACGCAGATTCCGTGTGGGCCTAGTTATAAGTTACTTATTAAAAAAAATAAGAACTTTTCAGACATTTCAGTCATTGGAAAAGTAATTTAAATAATTTCTAATGAAGTATATATTCATTAATGTATTGTAGTAACCAGCAGCACCTAACACTGATGGCCATTTTGTTATTTCAAGGGAAACTAGTTCATGATTTTAATGAAAAGAGAGTCAATCTGCTTATTTGGTGTTCAAATACTATAAACTCTTCATTTTTTATTTTAGATCACAATAGGAAATGTTTAAAATAATTGGCCATGTAATGGTATTAGACAGCAATTAAAATTAAACTTTTAGAAAAAAGTATTAGAGAATGGTTTAATGCAATAAATATTGTATATTTCCAAGTGTTCTGAGGTATATAGTTGGGTTTGGTGGAATATAAACCTACATCAAATGTGTTATTTAATAAAAATCCTGACATGAATATTTTTGTCTCTGACAGCACATTCATGAGACTGTATTAGACCATTCTCTCTGCTCCAAATCAAGTTAAAAGGAACACACTATAAGATCAGATCTGAGCGTACACTAATAAATGAGAAGCTGGAGGTGTTCATGGTTACTTATCAAGTGGTTTCTATGCATTTTACTTCTTCTTTTTTAATCTTTAGTTAACAAAACAAAGCTTTTTTTCTGATATATTTTCATGAACAGACAGGTCAGGTCAAGTTCAGTAATATGATACATTTAATTTTTTCTTTTTTTCACCAAACCATATTGTATATCGTGCCAAACACTGATTAAACATCAATGTGTGCCAAATGTGACATCCTTTGAGACTTCTTTTTTGAAAAGCCTAATGCTGCTAGTTATTTAACCAATTATTAACATTTCTTATTTTGAATAATGCCCCCTTTTTTATTCATTATAAACTCGATTATAAAATATTTGACAAGTTTTTAATCAATAAATAAAACAACAAAAAAGATTTTAAATGAACATACCTCATGCATGGTGTCTCGAACTTCAATGGTCTTAAGATGTGCCAGTGTGGTTTTAGCCGTTGTGATTGTGGCTGTTCCTTGTGATTGTTTATGTTCTGAGCTGCCATCAGTGAAACCGAAATAACAAATGCCTGGCCATATTCTACAAAACAACAATTCAACATTCACAATTAATGTCCTATAAACAGTTTTTTTTTTAAGGACAATATTTTCATACCTGCTGCCTTTCTGTATCACAGCACTGCTCGTGTCCTCTTGCAAAAGTCCAGTTTGTGTTTGTCGAAGCAGAGTAGTGAAATTCTCCTTTTGTTCAGCATCTGTTTTGTCAAAAAACTTTCATCTTTAGTTACGTAAATTAATTATAGCTGTGTTGGGAAACACAGATTATTACATTGATACGTTTTAGGAAAATTATGATTTTAAATCATCAGACACTTTACAAGGCATTCAAAATAAATGCTGATATATTATGGTCTCTCAAACTGAAAAAGAGGTGAATGAGTGATAAAGGTGAACCTTTGGTCACACATGCCAATGCCAGCAGTGAAAATCTTGGGCTGTAGACAAAGTGAAACATGTATTGTTCTCTGATGAGTCAACCTTTACTGTCTTTCCCACGTTCAGGAGAGTAACAGTGTGGAGAAGCCCTAAAGAAGCGTACCACCCAGACTGCTACATGCTCATAGTTGAGCAGGAGGATGGATTAGTGATGCTTTGAGCTGCAATATCATGATATTCTTTAGACCCAATACTTGAACCGTACTAGATGGGTGCATCACTGCCAAGAACTATTGAACCATTCTGGAGGACCATGTGCATGCAGTGGTTCAAATATTGTATCCTAAAGGCGGTGCAATGTTTCAGGATGTTTATGTACCAATACACACAGCAAGACTGGTGACAAAGTGGTGTGATGAACATGAAAGTGAAGTTGAACATCTCCCATGGTCTGCACAGTCACCATATCAAAATATTATTGAGTTACTTTAGGATGTTTTGGAGGAGCAAGTCAAGAAGTGTTTTTTTTCCCACCAGCATCATGTAGTGACCTAACCAAGAATGGCTCATAATTCCTCTGGTCACTGTGCAGGACTTGTATCTGTCATTCCCAATATGAATTGATGCTGTAATGGCCCTACACCATACGTTTCATTGTTCAACCTGTATATAGATTGCTCCAAAAAAATAAAGAGAACACTAAAATAACAGATCCTAGATCTGAATGAACAAAATATTCTTAGTATAATAGTCATATATTATGAATGTTATATTAAGATATACTCATATTATTACAAAGCCTGGGCATGCTTCTGATGCTCTCCTAAGGGGGTAAAGTCTAGATTGGATATGCGGATGGCCGGAAGTGTGATATGCACATTATTAAAGCAGCATTTTTTTCTGTATAACAATAGTTAATATCTTTATAGTACTCTGCCGGTTGGGTTTCGGGTTGGGGTGGGAGTAAGCTTTAAAAAATACAATTTATTTGGTAATTTAATAGATAACATAAATAATACTTGGTAAAACTACTGTTTTTACATTACTGTGATGGCTGGGTTTAGGGTTGGGGTAGGGGTAGACGTTAATAAAATACAGTAAATGGGAAATTAAATAAATAATATAAATAATTCTCGTTAACTTCCGGCCACAACTGTATCCGATCTAGCAACAACCTCCTAAGGGTTCTCCTCCCAGACCTGGACTAAAGCATCTGCCAACTCCTGGACAGTCTGTGGTGCAACGTGGCATTGATGGATGGAGCAAGACATAATGTCCCAAATGTGCTCAATTGGATTCAAGTCTGGGGAATGGGCGGGCCAGTCCATAGCATCAATGCCTTCGTCTTGCAGGACCTGCTGACACACTCCAGCCACATGAGGTCTAGCATTGTCTTGAATTAGGAGGAACTCAGAGCCAACTGCCCCGGCATATGGCCTCACAAGGGGTCTGAGGATCTCATCTTGGTACCTAATGGCAGTCAGGATACCTCTGGCGAGCACATGGAGGGCTGTGTGGCCCTCCAAAAGAAATGCCACCCCACACCATATCTGAACCAATGATCCAAACCGATCATGCAAAAGGATGTTCCAGGCAGCAGAACATTCTCTACTTGTGGACGTCGGGCTCTCACACCCTCATGGAGTCTGTTTCTGACTGTTTGAGCAGACACTAGCACATTTGTGGCCTGCTGGAGAGCAGTGCTCCTCCTGTTCCTCCTAAAGGCAGAAGTAGGGTCCTGCTGTTGGGTTGTTGCTCTCCTACTGCCTCCTCCAAGTCTACTGGCCTGTCTCCAGGTAGTGACTACGCTGACACAGCAAACTTTGTTGCCACAGCTCTCATTGATCTGCCATCCTTGATGAGCTGCACTATATGAGCCACTTGTGTGGGTTGTGGACTCTATCTCATGCTACCACTAGAGTGAAAGCACCGCCAGCATTCAAAAGTGACCAAAACATCTGCCAGAAAGCAAAGGAACTGAAAAGTGGTCAGTGGTCACCACCTGCAGAACCACTCCTTTATTAGAGGTGTTTTGCTAATTCTCTATGACTTGGCAGCACAACCTGAATCTGTTCCATTTTTCCTCCTAAATGGGGCAGTTT